TCTGTTCTCCCACAGGAGCGGTGGTTTCTCATCCGGAAAGCAGAAGAATATGGAGCGGTCAAGCACCGAATGAGCACTGCAGATTCGGAGCCTTATGATTTAGGGTGACTTTCCGTGACCCCATAATGAAATAGCTCGAGCGGGAGGTACTGCATCGGGAGCTTTCATTATTCGACGTTCTCGTAGTCGGCCGCGCTGAGCATCCAATGACGCATCGTGGGAAAGCTCCGCAATGACCGAGTCAACATCATTGCTTCTGCTTTATGTAGTAGAGCCGCAGCATCGTGCGCGGGCCGCTCCTTGCAAAAAAAAGCGCGGAACGTGACACGATTAGTTCTTCCGTAATTTCAGCTGGCCGTCCGCTCTCGCCGGGGAGCTTTTCCCGCAGACTGTATCCAGCAGTGAACTCTTGTCCCCCCACCCGCCGAGCTCTTATGAGTCCAGTTTTTGTGAAGCACGCATACGGTTGGCCGAAATTGAGTTGTCTCCAGCGTTGCTCCGTGTGCTTGCACGCAAGGCCGGCGACACATCCGGTGGAAGCTTTCATTAGGTTATGGAAGCAATTGGTGGGGCTTTTCGAAGGGTCCTGAATCGGGTCAAGGTCATTTGGGACCACCTCCGGAATCGGGAGCCAATCGTCGATGTTGGAAAGAGAGGAAAATAAGAAGCTCTCGTCTCGGCTCGAGGTTTTCCGTCACAGAAACGGAAATCATGTCGTACACGAGTCAGTTCAGCACTGAAAAAGCTACAGTCAGCCTGCGCTCCATTGGGCGCGCGATGAAGATGCATCGAGCGGATCAGACATCGTAAGCCAGCTAGCTACTGCCCCAATTACCGAACGGCCCTCGATGGGAGCTGCAGGAAAGAATGATCGGAACGAAGTCGGACAAAAGCTCAAGTTCAGGCTCATGATTCAGATCTCGCAGAGGCATCCGCTGCGGTGAGAGTCGAGATCTTGAATTCGGAACCATAGATCTCCTTGAACCCTGAACGGAGAGCCTCGAGGGACGTACAAACCGAGGGAGAGCGAGAGAACGAGAGGGGTCGCTCCACTGAGAGTTCCGTACTCCTCTCTAGAGCTGTGACACCTAACACGATGCCATGACCTTGAAAGGTGAGCGACAGCACTGGGAGCGAACGACGGTCCCCTCGGCTCCGTCGCGAATGCGCGGACTGTTGAACAAGAGGCCGACCAGTCATGAGCTTCTTATCAAATCCAATTTGTCAAGTCGGAGCATTTTTCTCTCGGTCCCTTGTCCCCGTGTTGTTGCTGCTCGACTCTTCCCCGTTGTTCGAATGCGCTCTTTCAACCTATCGCAGGCGTCCGCCATCCCCTTCGGCTTTGTTCTGCGCGCCGCTCACGTTCCCCCTGTTGTTTATAATTCACAGATTTGGTGTTTGCTTCGGGGAGTAGCTTTTCAAGACTACAATGGAGATGTCTTCCGTCGGCAGTGGCCTTGACGTGAGATTGTCTGCGACATCGACTTTTTAGCAACATCCGAGCGAATTCGGTTCACTATCGATGGGCATCAATTATTGATCGTACATCTATCCATGAATGAATTATTATCAACAGTTCGCCGATTTGAGTGGTTGTTCCCCGCTCCCAGAAGCGAGTAGTGCCACTGGATGGAAGAAGCTCTGTGGAGCGCACTCTATCGTTTCAGGAAACAGCCCACCAGCGGGCATCCTGCTCAAGCATGGTGGGATTAAATCATGCGTAACCTTCCTCCGCTGGACATAACGATCACTACAACAATGGTAATTGTAGATAGCCGTGCAACAACCGTCCAAGTCGACGAGGCGGAGGGTACACCTCTTCCGTCATTATATTCGGTGGTCACGTTTCGGCTCCCCCAACAATTCCAAAGCAGACACTCAAACACGGGAGCTCCGAGGCCACGTCAAAAATTGACCGACGCGAGCACTTCAGTCATTTCGTACCAACCACGATACTCGAAAGCTTCTAGTTAGATGAAGTTCAGTTCCCTAATCGCGATCTGATCGTGAGAGTACCTACGCGTCCTTGCGGTGGGATGTTTTAACAGAACTCTCCCTCACGTCGTTGAATTGAAGTTTGTCCTGCGCGAATCCGCTCAATATCCCCGTATGGGATCCGTGTACCTAATCAACGAGTAGCTGGAGAACACCGAGAATCGTCAGATTCCGTTCTCACCGAACTCCTGCGGCTGGATCGAGCTCGGAAAAGAAAGCGACGTCTATTGACCCCTCGAGAGGGATGGAAGCCGATGTGGATCACTTGAGGGCACCATGATGGCGGGGGAGCGCGATATGCTGAAACGATGGAGCGTCTCGTGAAATCTGTCGGAATCTTGAAACGGATGACGTCTGCAATCGAAACTCGGACTTGAACGGGAATAAGAATTCCGGTTTCACGCGGTGTTTTTGTATCATAAACATTCTTTGTTTATCTTCCCTAGTCACGTCCAGTGCTTCTCATGGAACTGAAGGGTCCGGCAGGCAGCTGTCGAGATGGGTTGAATACGAATGCAGACGGAGTCGTAGTGACCGTCGGACAGCTATATGGGAACTGTCACGGAGGAATACATCTGCCCTACCCTTGAGGCTGAGGGTATATGCTTCAGAGTGGTTCATTCACACAGTCGCTAGCCAGCCTTTGCCTGTGCTCTCCAAGACGATCCCATGGGGGTCGGATGAATTCCGAGATCTAGCCGGTCGTCGTTCAATCGACTCGATTAGTTCGAAATTCGGCTATCCACGATATCCCTCCGAACTCTCCCCCTTCCGAGTCCGTGCAGGAACGGTATTTCGCTCGAGAGCTCCGACAAACGAGTAGTGTCACTTTCGAGAAGAGACATTGTACCAATCAAGCGATCGGCAACCTGCGGGAGAGTCCAGACAAACGACCGAAGAGCCCAGAAGACGTATGTACGTAACAAGTGAACGAGAGGTACTTGGAGTTCGACGACCGTGAAGCGGGATTTCCATCGCGGGGATCAGCTCTTGTCTTGATTGGACTGTACACTTACGGCTGGACAGGGGAAACACGATGACCGACGAGGTCATCAGGCACATTCCACCGCTCTCCGTTTGCTCTCCGACCGCGGAGTGTTCGTCGACGAAGGTACCTGAGCGTATCGGGTAACCCGACTCAGTTTTTGCGACGAGTCGTCCGGCGACACGTCCTCCGTCCCCGAGAGGGTTCCTGATGTTGGAAGCAAGTCCACCAACAATCACAGAAACCGCAATCTCCCACCATTCCTTCTTGATTCACCTCGCCTGGGCTCCCGGAATCCAATAGTGAATTTAGGCCGCAGTTTCCCTAGCGCGACTCGGACATACTCGGAGCGTGTTCTCGAAGATTCTTATTTCTCCTGATAATTATTATCTGAGAGCCCTCTTCTTCACCTCAAACTACTTCATTCTCTTCATTCCTCCTCTCCACCGAGAACCCCGGTGCTTCAAAGGCCTAGCGGGAAGTGCTCTCCTCGGCAAGGGTTATGCACTCGACGAACTTTTCTTGAAAATCGCTCAAGGACCCCGTGTCGGCTGGCAACACTACCCGTTCCGAGTCCTCAATCAGCTAGTTCCTTTTTGAAGACTTTCCGGCGGAGAAAACGCTCGAGTATCGCATCCGGCCCTGGATGCGATTCCGAGAACGATAGCATTGCGCGACCGGATTCTTGTGGATGTTGCAACGAGTCCGCAGCTGCGTCCATGGAAGGCAACTTCCGAGGGGAAGTCGGCCCCGATTGAAATCTGTGGGAGATCCGCCGTGGCTCAGACCGTCCAGCGGAATGCGCGATCGTTTTCCTCGTCGTCGAGGACTGTCTGTTTGTCTGCGTGCGTTGACGAGTTCCTACGAACGTTAAAACCTGGCGCAGAACTCGTTTCCGATTCCCGCGAACGATTCGACGGAAGCAGTTCTTGGAGACCGTAATTGGCTTCGAGTCGAACGAGGAAGAAACTTTCTTGAGGTCGGACAGGCGCTTCGTGTTGGATTTTCCTCCTCTCCGCAACGATCGTTCTTCTATTGTCTACTCGAAACCGGAAGAAGTTGACGTCGTGCTCGGGGGAATTCAACTACTCAAACGCGACTTTGTCTTCCCGCGAGCCAACACGGGGAGCCCGGAACAATCAGCGATGCTTTTCCCTGTCTCTTTGTGCTTCCGATCCCCTCAGCGGCTGAATCAGTCCGGGGACATTCTGATTTCGTGAGACTATCGATGATTCCAGAGCTTAGTGTGGGGATGTGGAGTTCAAAAACGGCGACGCATGACAAGCTTGCGACTACGCTAATTCTCTCCGCTAGAGCTGACAAATGAGTCTCCCTTACAGAGAGCCCGATAACTTCTTATCCGGGGGCCCATCTATAAGTTTCACCACTAATTGCATGGACGTTCTCGATGTAATCCCACTACTCGAACGAGCGAACAGGCTTCCGAATAGATTACACAGAGCAAGCAGCTAATCAAGGCCCGAGCACAACAACGACAACAACCGCCACGCAGAAGTATAAGCACGTTGTAACATCGTGAAGAGCTCTGGAGGTCTTCCTTATCAGCATGCGAGCTACATGCAGCAGGAATGCAGCATCCGAGATTGAATAGAAATAATTACCAAGAGTCTCGTCGTGGGGAACAAAACCGAATAATATCCGCGGACGCCTCTTCTGAACGTGTACTCTCCGAATAGAACACACTTCCGTCGAGGAGTCCACAGCGATTCACCCAATGTACGGCAAGTCTCCACCCATGTCGCCCATGTCTCCACATGCGGATAATCGCTCACGGTCGCGGAGCCGGGCTCGAGGTCACAACCCGAGCTCTATGGATCGGCTCGAGCGCTCGTACGAAGTAAAGTTCACATGATCGAGGTGAACAAACAGTTATGTCTCTTCGTTCGATGCTTTGGATCACTGATTTGCTCTGTGGCTTTATTGCTCCGTTTTTGAGAAGCACTCCATATTCGAGTGTAGACCACGCACATATTTGATCTCTGAGAGCCCCCACGATTGGCTGAGGGCTTGTTGTTCCACACTTCCACGGATATCCTCCGCACATATTCCACAATCAGCTACCCACTCCTGTGTAGGGTCCAGACACAAGTTTGGCCGATTCCGGTCATGGCAACAACGTGATATCCCTTTTCCTCAAGTTTGTTGAGCACCTTACGAGGAGGTGACGCGGAGCTGTATTCGAAACTGAAAAAGAGGAGACACAATTCCACCGTGAATTTCAATGGAATTCCAGCGAGAGGCTACATCTTGTAGGTAAGACGATTCCGGGTGTGTAACGGTACGCACAAGTTGTTACCGAGTTGGCGGATTCGACGAGCGCCGAGAAACTCCATCAGTTCCGGGTCGGAGTCAGCATCGCCCACGATCGTCGGCCCATTCTCCTGGAAATACTCAGTCGCTCTAGATCCTCACAATAGTTCGCGAGCTTTCACGAACATCCGCTGAAGCTCCATAGGAATGTAGCCTGGGGCTTGAGCTCACCAATCGAATTTGAGTTGAAATCAAAACGTACGGCATCGGTTCTGACGGACAAACTCCTTCGACGGTCAATCAGCTGTTCGCTTTTATCTGAAACTCGCAGTCGGAAGTGGACGTCCCTTCTCGTCGACGTATACTTCGATCGGGTAACTTCTCAATGGCTTCTACAAATGACAATTATTGAACTGATATCGAGTAGAAGCTTTCATCGAGCACAGCCGAAGATCAGCGAGCTCGAACCGTCCGTTCCACTACTTGTAGCCTCCAGGGAAGTTTAAGCGGCCATTCTCTTACATTTCGAGCCAAATTGAGAGGAGGGAATCTTTCTACTCTCGGGTTTCTCGTGATTACCGAGGGAAACGATACCGTGCGCTTCTCGAGTTTCGTTGAGTGATGAGATACTTTTGAATGTTCGTGGACTCTCTTCGCTCGAGGTTTTCCTCTTTAATTCCCCGGCGATTCTTCTTGCTCTTCCCTCTCGTGGGAGTGGAGGGTACAGGGAAAAACGGTGGAGTTTCGACTCCGGAAACCACATGGAGCCGTAATAAGGCTAATGAAAGTGCTTCTCGCGAAATCAGCCATCCTGACATCAAACACAGCTGGAACGGATCCTGCGGAAAACCGTCTCCGAAGATACCTTCGGATTGGAACAAGCTCCTGGTGGGGATTCTCGACCGATTTCCGACATCGTTGGCGATTCATGATGCGAGCTAACGAATCTCAGTGGAGCGCCTCCGGATCTTGATGGATCCCTTAGACAGTGGGAAACGGATATGGTATCAGCTCCGAGGCGCCTCGCATATGTCGCGAACGTGCGACGGCAACCGATATGCGGCCGCGAGCGGGAGACGGTGATGAATTTTCAAATCAGCCGAAGACCTCCGCTAAGTAAGCGACTCGTTCGATTCGTGTTCTCGGAACGTGCTCATGCGACAGAACCCGATCGCTCCGCCGGAATCCCTAAGAATTATTCCGAGAGGCCCCAACTACTGGAGGAAACGCGTCCCAGAGCACATAGATATGGATCAGTTCCTGAGGGATTCGAGACTCGGAGAGATCGTGGAGCGGAGATCAAAGGGAAGCCTTTGTCCAGCTGCTCACCAGGAGCTCGCCCTGCCTCTGCTCGACCACACTACAGGAAACCGTACAAGATAAATGGAGGCCTATGATCGGAGAGACGGCGTGCGTCTGGGAGTGTGGCATCGTCCTGCAACAGTTGCAGAGGCTGTATGAGCCCTGGATTGTGAACGTTCGCTCTATGAGAGTAACACGTCAGCTGTTGTGCCGAGGAACGCGAGTTAGGGGAGGGAAAGGTTTGGACACGCTGGATGGAAGGCGCAGGGTACGAGTAGAACGATAATGGATAGATCCGACCGTTCCGGGCCCCGGACGAAGACGAATCCGATTCCATCTCGATAAACTTTCCGCCGGCGAAAGGGGTCGCTTCCCCGAACGATGCGATCGCCACCAATGGCACGGTGTTGATCCGACGACATCGGTTCGCTTCTGTTTTGAAATCGTCCGAGGGATTCGAGTGTGATCGTCTCCTTGGTTCACCGAGAAGCGAAGTCGGCTTTCGTCCCACGCACTCGGAATCGCTCAGAACAGTCCAGGATTTTCGAATTATCATTTGCGGGTCGATTCAATACCTCGAGAAACATAAAGCATCGATCCCAAGAAGAACCTCGCTGCGGGGACGCTGCCAGTGAGGATCGGGGGCTCGCGAATGCGAAAACCTTCGTTTTTCTGACGTGATTTCACGTCAGTCAGGATCAAGAAGAGTCAACCTGATCGAGTTTGCGTAATGATTTCACGTTTCCTATCGTTTCCGTGCGGAGGCTGAACCGCGGAGAATAAATTCGCCGATTGAAGCGGAACCCCCACGCATTCAAACGTAATCCGCAGCGAGTTGAAAATGGCTTCGGAGTCGAGGCAAACCCAAAAACCTCATACAGAAGCTCCGTCGGGCACTAGGAAGAGTTGCTCAACAAATATCATTGAAGAATCGGAGAGATCGAGGATCCACTCCAAGGCGCGCGAATACAGAGAGACGAAAGAAAGTCTCGAGGACGTCTCCACTCATGTATATTAGAGAAATATTACCGGTCCCGCGTTATGACCATTGGGATCCTTCCCTGTCATTATTCGCGCCTGGAAAGTCACGGAACGTCTGCTCATAAGGCTCCGTCCATCTCTAGACGCTTGGTTAGATGGGCCGCATAGACGATCCCATGCGTGAGGGCACCGGTGGAACCCTCGCCGTCTGTCGGAAGCTCGTTCGAAACGACGATTAAGGACTGTTCGCGCGACCGACGAACCGGTTCGCGGTATCGAGTGTTCGCGGCCATCACTGGCTGCAGAAAGAAGCGCGATTCGTCGGTTTGAACAGGGTCCAGAGAAGTTTGAGTCGCAACATCGTCAGGGGATTTTATGACTGAACTTCAACAGGTTCTTCAACGGCAGGCATCTGTGGACAAGGTGAGTGTCTCCGGATTTCCGCCCTGGGTTGATCCCTGCGAAAATCGATCATGTACTGTCGGTTCCTCGCGATTCCACGATCGTCTCAGATCTTGTACCGCTTGAGAGTCGATGTATAGATCTAACCCGGCTCTGGGGTTCGAGAATTCCATACCGTGGATCTGTCCTCCTCAATCGATTCCTCCTCTTTTCGAACACGAGTTCAGAAACGGTATTCGCATGACGCGCGACGTCGGCGTCGGTACCACGGTCGAAATCTCTAATGACCTTGCCCGGTTCCGGCGCGGCGTATCGACCTGCTGAAGGTCTACAACAGCGACTACGATCTCCCCAACGTGAGAGAACCCGCCGCGGGCCAGGCAGAACAGGAGGGATTACGCTTTTCGTTTTTTCAGCCTGAACCGTGAAGGGGAACTCGCCTCCCTGTAGAGGGCTCGAACATGGCAAGTCGTGTATTGGTGCCACATCGATACTCTGTCTTTTTCAATCAGCTTCCGCGATCATCCGTGTGAGTGCGGAGAATCTTCTGCTGTCGGCAATTGTTCTCTACTATGGTAACCTCGCGATGGATGGCGGGTCCGATATCAGATGCGCGAGCCTAATTAATGTCGTACGCGTCTCCCAGGAAATTCCACCCGAAGTTCCGGCAAAAAAGTTATTGGCACGGCTTAGGATCGAGACCCCTTCTGAGTTCGACCACCTACGATGTACTCAAGAAGTCCGCGGACGCCAAGGGAGCCAGCCCCGCCGTCGTTTCTTGTCATCAGGGAATCGAAGTCGATTACAGTACCTTCAAGAAAGACGTGAGCTCAAAGACTCTCTATTCCCAACTGCTACCTATCAGAGAGCGGATCGAGGGTCTCAATGCTCGCACGGAAATGTCTCCCAGCATCGACTATCTGATATGGATAAATACGAGGCAGAAGGGAATAAGGGACACACGCGTATATTCTGTAAACAGGTCGACACACTGGCCGCTGGGTTAGCAGCCTTCAAGTATTCGGTGGGAACGATGGCCGGGATTCTCGCCCCTAATATCTACGAGTGGATGGTCGTGCAGTACGCCACGGCGAAGTTGGGATGGGTTTTAGTGAACTTAAATCCAGCCATTCAAGCTCCAGAACTAGAGTATGCCTTGAACCTAGTGAGTCATTATGCATCTCAAAGAGAATTCCGACGTGGTCTTTGCAAAACTCCGACCAGCTCGTTGCAAGGAGTGTAGGATATGCGACTGGATTCCCGCGTTTTGCAGGCCCGCTGTGAGCTTTTGATCGTCTCGGACGAATTCTCGGTCCAAAATTTCCATTCGATACTTCAAGTCCTGATTCCTGATCTCGATGTCTCGTCCCCTGGCCAAATCGAATCGTCGAGGGTTCCACAACTAAAAACCATCATCAATATCGGTTCAGAACAAAAAAGGTGAGACGGTTAGATATTGAGGAGAGCTGCATCAGGAGACGCATATGAGATTTCGATCATTCAATGTGTCGCTTTCTTTCTCAGCGGCTGTATCCGATATACTGATGTTCTTGCCTCGGCGACCGCGGCATTGGAGAACCTCGCTGACCAGGTCAATTCGAGTCTTGACATGGATTCGATTGTTAATGTGCAATTCACATCGGGCACCACCGGGAAGCCGAAAGTGAGTTCTTGCTTCGTTGATCGGCCTTGACGTCAGGCTCCCATTCGGGTCGCGATCGGGTAGCACTCGAATACGTCACCAACCTCGACCCTCGGAAGAAAGGTTCCGAATATCGCTTGAGACTTCTTGAGGTGGTTCCTCGATTCAGGGTCCTCTTTGTCAACAGGCTGTTCCCTTGACTCACCACAATATTGTAAACAACGCCTCCACTCTCGGACATTGGTCAGGAATAGCAGAAGACTCGCATGCTGCAATTTGTCTAAATGTGCCCCTGATACACTGTTTCGGCTGCGTCATTGGATCCTTGAACTCGGTCATCCATGGCGCGAAAATAGTCCTCCCAGCGCCTCGCTTCAATGCGAAGGCCGCATTGTCGGCGATCTCAAAACATAAGTGAGTTTGGACGCTCTGCCCGCCTCCTGAAGCTTTCTTCTGGCGTCAATCATACGCCGAAGTCTTTCGCCCGTTGACCGGAGTGACTGCCTCCACAGATGCACTATAGTCTACGGGACGCCGACGATGTACGTGGACATGCTTTCCGAGCTGACGCCGGATCACAAATTGGACTCTCTGAGCACTGGACTGATGTCCGGATCGCCCTGCCCTCCCCTCCTGCAGCGCAAGGTTGCCGACAGAATGGGGATCAAGACGCTTCACGTGAGCAGGGACCAAGGGAATTTCGGGCGGAATGTTTCGACTCTGATTCCCTCGTCAACCGGACGAATACCCATGTCTGATATCAGAAGAGATATCGAATTGCTTGCAGATTGCGTACGGAGCCACGGAGCTGAGCCCCGTCACGACTTTCACTCGACCCGATTCTTTGATGAAGCGTCCCGATACCGTCGGGCAACCGATCGATCACACTGAAGTCAAAGTCGTTGACAAAACAGGCAAAGTGGTTCCATTTGGTGTCCGAGGCGAGCTTTGCTCTCGGGGCTATCACGTGTTTGGGGGTTATTTGAACGAGCCGGAAAGGAGCGCGGAAATTCTCAAGGATGGCTGGTATCACTCAGGGTGAGTGGGGGAAATCGTCCTGACTGAGAATACTAGTTTTCGGTCCGCCGTAGCGGCTGAGATTGCCAGATGTGACGCACGGGCTCCTACTGTTTCCCCAACTCCGCAGAGATGAAGCTACAATGCACGAAGACGGCTTGATAACGATCACTGGCAGAATTAAAGACATGATAATCCGAGGAGGCGAAAATATTTATCCGACTGAAATCGAGGATCATCTTCTCAAAATGCCCGGGGTAGGTGGAGGCAGACGACGTGCACGCTTATTCCCGACGATGCTAAGATCATCCGATCTCTTTAGAGCCAACCTGAGGGAGACATTCACAGTCGTCCGTTTCCCGGTGATATGAGCCATTGAAGCAATGATCGCGACTCGAGGCCAACCGATCGCGGCAAACTCCGATTCTGACGGAGATCGGCGATCTTTCGGAAGATATTTATTCTCGAGACCTGCTATCCACATCAATGCCCACCGCAAACCGCCCGTGTGCGAGTTCTGGCGGATGGGGCTCTCTCAGAATCAGCGCAGAACTGGAGACATTTCGGGCATCCCCAAACCAAGAGATTCGCTAATAAGAGGTTCCGGGAGAGCTCCGGCGGCGATGCTCGTGAATCATCCCTGAACGGACCCCCGTACTTGAGCTTTTATCGGCGGACTTTCGCATGAATTACTAGTTTTCCGTCGCAGGTCACAGAGGTGAACGTGTGCGGTGTGCCCGACGGCAGACTTGGCGAGGAAGTCTGCGCGTGGATAAAAGTTACCGCCGGTCATTCAATCGCCGAGGAAGATGTTCGGAAATTCTGCAAGGGACAGGTGATTGAGAATCCGAGGAGGACTGGGAACCGATCACGGTAGAGCCTCATTTCTAATTCTCGTATTCGACTTGATTCCAGCTGAGCCACTACAAGATACCTCGATATGTTGTATTCGTTGACTCATTCCCGAAAACCCTGTCGGGAAAGATTCAGAAACATGTCATGCGCCAAGAAATGTGTCGACGCCTAGCCGTCAACGACCGATTCTGAAAGAGACACCTGAGGCATAGAGCTTACATTCCATCATGTTGACAAGTGCGCTCTCCCGGACCCTCAGATGGAATCGCGGAGGGTTGGGCTCAAATCCATCGCAGCCACAGTTGGGAAGATTAGAAAGAATAAACGAGTTCGTGGCTCTGAAACCGGACGATATCGCCTCTTTACACTATTGGCTGAAATCACTCTCGATTTTGCTCGTCGAACGACGCTTCGTCTCATCGTCTGCAGACTGGCGCGCCATGCTCCATTCGAGGCTCCGTCTCCCGATTCGATATCCGTCTCGCTCCTTGTTCCGATCGCAAGAGTCACTTCAGATCGGGACCCGCTCTGTATAGGGAGCCACTCTTGGTAGGGTTTTGTCCGTAGGGTGACGCTCACCCAGACGCATTTCGACTTCTCCGGTTCAGATTCGACGGACTTACGGAAAGTTTGAACCATTATGGAGATCCCATCGAGATTACGCATGCGTTCCCTGGAGCTGCGGAAATGGCTCGACTATAACGGGTCATTTTTTCGGACTCTCCCTATGCGAATCGAGATAAAAGTTTTTCTCATCTCTGAGGCTCTCGAATGATCACGCATAATGCTCTGCACAACCTACCCAGCTGGAAGCGCAAAGTTTCCTCACCCTTCGCGGATTGGATGGAGTGTGATTCGCCCATCCGTTAGTGCCCGAACGAAGGAGGTCGATTCAGAACTCGTTTCTGCGGACTTCCATCGGAAACCTGATTGATTGCATTGACGCGCTATCGTCGATTGCAAGATGACGATAGAGAGCCTGGAGTGGGAATGGCCAGTGAGATCTTCCCCTCTGTGCTCAAATGGGTATCGTTGCCCCCTCTTCGATCTACTCAGTCAGAGATGGAATTGAGTCCGAGGTGGCACCCAATGAGCATGTCTTCGATTTCCGGAACGAATGAAAATCGCAGTGCTCTCTGCTCTGGATTCCGAAGTCAACGATCGCTATGTATCGCTTGACGTACTCCGGGGCTCCATTTTCGTCGGTGCTTTTGGCCCAATTGCTCTATGTGTAGCTCCTTCTCTTGAAGATATAATCTATCATTTGGCCACCCTCGCGAAGCTTCTCTCTACCATCCAGCTCCATTGCTCTCGTTTGTTCAAGTATGCCGCTCAACAGACGCATTCTGCAGCCTAACTGTGGCGTAGCGAGCCTCTGCGCCCCCTAGGCGGCTCCGAACCTCCTGCCGCCCCTTCTCATGCGGCGCCGCCCCCGGAGAGGCTTTGAGGGGCTCCCCGGTAATCTCCCAGAAAATCAACGTTTCGTCGGTCGTCAGAAAGTGCCGGCCCTCGGAAGTGCCGCCTCAGGCGGTCCGCCCCGCTTCCGGCGCCCGAGCTTGGGACATTCGGCGCGAGTTCAGTGCCTGATCCAAGAATCCACCGGAGGGAAGGGGAAACGCGACCAATATGTCGAGGAGGCGGCAGATTGATATGTATGTCCTGCTCTAGGAATCCAGCCTGATGGGGACTTGGATCCAGCCAAGGAGGAGTATAGAATCCTAGCGAAATCTGAAGTTCAGGCTTTGGACAAGACACCCGAAGATTAATTCGTTCGGGAGTTCCATCTGCGGAACGCAGTACCACAGGACTACAGAATTTGAGAGGAAGTCGTATCTGAGGATGCTCGGCATAAGGAACCGGAAATCCTTAGAGTTTCACCCACCGAGTGCTCCCAGACTCACAGAGAGGGGAGTCCGCGCCAGCCGAGTCTGTGTTTGTTTACGTAAAAGCCATAGCAGTCGACATCTCTCTCTCCCTCTCATCAGCCCGGCGCTCCGCCGACAGACGTTCTACGAATTATTTGCTCCACTGTCAGCCGTACTCACCAGAATGGATGAGAGGGAAGGAGGTGTGATTAGAGAAACGGGAAGTTCAGGGAGCGCTCTCCTGCGTGTGGTCGTGAGAGGCAGCGGATTGCACTACGAGAATCCTCTAAATCTGCGTCAGCTGTTTTAGGGAGGCCTGCTGCTTGCTGGTTCCTACGCTCCAGCTGAAACTGCTCAGCTGGAGATTGTGCTTGTTTGGATGATCCTCGTGGAGACAACTCTCGGAGAGAACTCTATGCTCGGCACAGGCCAGCGTGGAAAGGCCCGAAGCCTTTGGACTACTCCTGCCATTGGGGCAGTTCTCATCTAGCGACTTCAGTGTGCGGCTAAAGAGATATCGGAGTCCTCTCAGCAACATGGAATCGTGCGGAACAGGCCGTGCTGATATCCGTACGATACTCGACCACGCGGGAAGTGATAGCCGTTAGCTTCTGTCTGAGGCGTCAAATTACGCGGAGTGTTGAGTTTCCCAGACCTTGCCCGCTGTTCGATGACATCATGGCAACATCCCATTCCCCACAAGGAGGAGAGGGTGAGATTAATCGGAAATTGCTCGAGAAAACTCATAACAGATGAGCCTTAGCGGAATTCTGGGGCGATTGGATCACCTGCACCAGGGCCCGAGCACCGGGAAAGCTTCCGGTGCAAAGCGGTTGAGGCAGGAGGGAGGGGGGGGGTTGGGAAAACATCACCGCTTCACGCCAGGGCGAATAACCTCATCGTCGTGGGATACCGTTCAGCGAAGTACCACCCATAGCTCGACGCTGCTTCGCTGTCAGGAAGAAGTTGACACCTCTCCTCGGGATGCGAATGCCGAGTCTTGGTGGACGAGTGTAGGAGCTCACGACTGACTTCTTCGATTCAGAGGCGGTATCGGATGGGGTCGAAGAAGCTTTCGCACCCACAGAAGAGAATGACGGAGAGAGTCCCTTTGATGATGCTGTCTTCCACGCCCAGCTTAACCACCATTTCCTCACTCATTCTCGGTAAAGATTCTTCTCGAGTCCCATTGCGGCGGAACATAGTTGGCAGAGTGAATATCCGGCTCTGATTTGAAATTCTAGGGGATCGTCCATCAATTTGTCCTTCGACCTTTCGTCGTCGTCATCTGAGGGGGACGAGGATTCGGAGGGAGATGAATTCAGGGAGCAGATTCTCACCGATCCGAGCCGTGTCCGGTTGTACATAAAAGTTTGTGTCTAGCTCCGAATATGTACATTTCTCCTCGGGCCTTCCGCCGATGACAACAGACGCAAGTCTAACGATATCCGTCACGTCATTCCCCAGGGGAAACTCCAATATCACTTCATGAGTCCACTAGAGAAGTGGCGTTACAGACAAGTATTCCCGTGGAAATTGATCTTCCAAGTTGTTAAGATATTCGTTGTCACATTTCAAATTCTCTTGTTTGGCATGGACAGTACTCAATTCTACAAAGAAGAAGCCGCAACAGCTACAGCCCTCAAAGTGAGTCCAGGCGATCCGAGTATTTTATAAATCCTAATTCGGCGAATCATTCCAGGGGACGTCTGGGCTCAATAAGGATCAGTGATCTCTCGTTGTAAAAAAAATCTGTTACCGCTTGCAGGCGTATTTCCTCACGGATTGGGATCCAATTCGAGATGTGTATTTCTATCCGCCCACGGACGGCCCTTACGCAGTATACACGATGACGGAACTCTTTGATAGCATCGATACGGTCGTTCAACGATACGCGAATATAACGGAGGAACCGATTGGTAAGAACTCTGCTTTGAATGAAGTATTTCCGGGCCCGGGAAGGCTAATGAAAGTGAAAAACGAGAAGCGATATGAACTCGGTCAATTCCGAACCGACCTGTTGCATAATTATTGATCATGACGCTGGAATGATGGTGACGAAGCGATTCCTCTGGCTTCCAGGCTCGTTTCGTTACGACTCCGCCGATGGACATCTGGTTCCCCCGAAGCTTTGTCTTGAATTCTACGAAACTGTCAAAGTGTTTCCCTTCAACTCATCGATAAGTTTCAACAACAAGGTAAATTGAAGCAATGAACAGTCTTCCAGAGGGCGGCACTGAATGGCCATGCTGCACACAGTATTCTCTTAACGAAAAAATCGTTCTCATGAAGGTCAAGTTCCGATGTCTACCGATTGATCCGCCGAGCTACAACAACTTCTCTATCCTTGCCTTCCTGAATGAGACTGCCGCACTTGATCTTCAGAGGTTAGTTCCTGAGCACGACCCATGGTCTTTGAAACACCTCTCGGGGAAATACATAAGTTCCTCTGCTTGAGGGGATCTCCCAATCCAGAATCCAACCTTTCTCCCCATTCCTTCCAGATTGATAACAGCCAGAATAAACTTCTCGCTGAGAACTGTATATCGACGGTCTCGACCCGTACATGACTATTTTGTTGCCTACCGAATGGATACAAACATCATTTACGACAATATGCATCATGACGGAATGATCAAGGCGAGTCAGGAAGATGACCTCGTTTCACGGCTTCTCAGGAATTCTGGATTCGTGGAGCTTCGGAGGACCTCCAAGATCCGTACTTAAGATGCTTTCCAATTCACAGGTTCTGCTGAAAGTCAGCGGCGCGACGAACGAGGGTGAGAAGACATTCTTGGATGAGGGCGTGCATCCAAGCGAGCTCCTTGCGCGACAGGCTTTGAATGTCTCCGTCATAGTCCTCTGTGTGATATCACTGTTCCTCTGCTTGCGATCGATGGTGCGGTGCAATTACTTGCTGAAAAAAACCAAAGAATTCTTCGTCACCAACATGGGGACCGAACTCTCGTTCGGAGACAAGGTGGAATTCGTTGATTTCTGGCTCTGCTTGATCGTCTTGAACGACATTCTCGTCATTTGTGGAACCGCGGTGAAAATCACAATCGACCTTCAGATCATTTCAAAGACGCGCTTCATGTGCGCGTCCGTTCTGCTCGGAACTGGGATTCTCCTCGTTTGGTGTGGCGTTTTGAGATACCTGGGATATTTGAAAACATACAATGTCCTCATATTGACTCTGAAGCGATCGACGCCGAATCTTCTCAAGTTCTTGATCGGGGCCATGACCCTTTTCTTCGGCTACGCCATCTGCGGATGGGTGGTGCTGGGCCCGCATCATCTCAAGTTCAAAACTTTTTCGACGAGTATGGAGTGCCTTTACGCCATAACGAACGGTGACGACATTTTCGCAACCTTCGCGCTCGCCACAGACGAATACGCTAGTCTGCATATATCGCCGATGATCTGGTGGTTCACGAGATTTTTTTGTACTCGTTCGTCATCTTGTTCATCTGTGTTGTGATCAATTTGTTGTACGCGGTAATCATCGACGCATACGAATCGATAAAGGAGACGTCGGATGCGAGTAGGCAGCCTAAGAAAAGTCTCGTTAGAGACTTCATCCAGGAACGTCTCGAAAAAGCTTCGAGCATCAATTACATCCTCGATGAAGAATTCGAAGGGCGAATGAGCACGCTGGAGGTGAGCTCTATGGCCCGACGATTCCCGTACTGTTCCTATTGTTCGTCTCCGATTCTTCGCCGTATAAGACCCGCTCCCTTCTTCCAGCTCCTCTTGTGCTGCTTCCCTTCGTGGTTCAGAAGGGGAGCGCAATCCGACGATCAAGCTCTGATGGCTCGAAGGAACTCACGGCGACAATCGCGCTTGGTTAGACAGGACGCGATCGTCATCGACGAATGAAACCCACAGTCGCGCCAACGGAACTCCTCCAGTGATCAGCTGCCAAAGTTCATAAATCGAGTCCCTCGAAGCCAATGTTCGGCGGGAGGCTGCGAAGCACGGAGTGGTCGTGTGATTTATCCGCTGGGCGAGAGTCTGAAATCTCACGGAGAAAAGATCAACCAGATACGTCAAACTTCTGTAAATACGTTACAACAGATATAGCGGGGGCAGAACAAGGATTCACGATGAATCGTACACCCGGGTTCATTCGAGAAATTATTCGACGGATACGTCATGAATTGAGGCGAAACACTGATTACGTATGTGAATTACCCAGTGAATATTGAAGAAACGGTCGCTGGAATTTTTCATCATTGTCTTCGCAATATGAACAATGTGCCTAAACGCTCGTGCAAGGATTTCTCGCCAATTCGGAACAACAACGTCATCGTCGCGATACGGGTGGAAATCATCTCCTGCCCATCCAGTTAAATTTCTTCATCATGTTATCCCACAAGTTCTTATTGTCCTGAGGCCGGGAGCTGTTCGAGTCGATAAACTCCAGAACTCCGCTCGGCCTCGCATCTTCGGGCGGAGGGGTAGATTTTCTGTTCGGCGAGTTTTGAGTGACCGCCTGAGGCATGGAGTGTGCGGCGTATTGGGGCCTATGATGCGAGAGGTCGGGCCGTCGATGAACTTTTTCAAAACTAGGCTCGGTTATCTGGAACTTCTTCGGCGGATCCTGAGGTCGCCGCGAATCCGAATCCTTGTGCGATTTCGACGGCAAATCAAACTCGGGCGAACGATCAGCTTGATCTTCGTTTTCGTCGGAGGTTTCCGGTTTCCCAAAGTTGTGCCAAGGCTTCTTGGGTCGAGGAGACGCAGGTTTCCTGTCTTTGTGTGACATCTCGATGATTCCTGGGTCGACGTGCATAGCGTACTGCGGCTTGTGTTTGCTGTGACCGTAGGAATAATGGTAGCTGCGGTGACGGTTTTTTCCATATGATGGATGGTGATGGTAAGACTTCCTCCTCACGTACACTGGGTACGGTACATGTATGTGACGTTTAACGAACACCGGTTTGAAAATAGGAATAGTCACCGGCACATGGTACGGCTTTGGTACGTGGATCACTTTGTGAATGTGGACCGGATAGACATGTGGCACTTTCACGGGCTTGGGCACGTACATCGTTCGCTTGTACGGCACCGGTTTGTAGATGGGCAGTGCTTTATGACGGATGTACGGTTTCGGTACGGGTATGCCGAAATACTTCTTCACGATCCTGATCTTGGGCAGAGGGATGATTTTCGCGATGGGCATAATTTTCGGGACGTGTTTCGTCACGGGTATCCAGTAGGGAACCTTGACGGGATAAGGAACGTGGACCTGCTTGTAGACGGGATAATAATGCGGTACTCTCACCGCTTTGTACACGTGAACAGGATGCGCGACCGGAACCACTCTTCGGATAATCTTCACAACGCTCTCGGGTTTCCAGATCGACGCGACAGATGAAAAGAGAGCGTGTATAACAAGAAAACTAATCCAATGAGGTCTCGGGATCATTTTGGCACGGGAAGCTGGGGATTATCTCCGATGAATCGTCACATATCCTCGGATGTCGGAACCTCAGCCTTATCATACCGGAATTCGGCGCCTCGGTTGACCACACATGGCAGAGGGTTTAAGGCTCTCGTACGCTTCGACACCGATGCCTTATGTTTTCGGGAGTTCTTGGTGTCGGCAGTCCAGAGATACAGTCGATTTTTCGAGCACTTGATGAGCACACGTTATATCACCGCTGAGGGGAATAATCCGCGACGTACGGTGCTTCGCAGAGCATCACCGGTACCAGAGTGAAAGTCCGCTTTGCTCCGGTGGGATCTTTCCCCCCTTCTCGATTGGGGCTAACGAAGTTCCGAGGCAGAGAGGGAGAGAAAGTTAAAATTTGTCACCAGAAAGAAGTCGAAAGTGAAGCGGATAGACTCTCTGATGTTAGACGTAACGCATCACTGGGCGGCCCAGTGAAGTCGAGGAAGCTCTCGGGAAACAGCTCTGGGGATGAACAATGAGCACATCTGAGCATGGTGGAGAAGAAAACACCTCCTATGCAAAACGCTCGGGACCAACGTCTCTAGCCGAAACAGACGGAACAGGTAGCCTGCCTAGCCTTTCAAGGAAGAGAATAAAAAAGAACAACCAACTGCAGGCCGAGCATTTTTCCGCATTCGAAGCGAGTCTCTGCCCCAAGCTGACAGTGAATGAAATCGCAGCTCGGAAACACGCACACCTTCTTATTCTCCCTTCATTAGAAACCGCTAAATGTGAATGCTCGATCTATTCCGCACCACGCCCCTATCAAGGTCCCTGCTCTTGGAAGAGATTTGCTTTGGGCGCAATGTCCCGACGTCAATCCGAAAGGAAAAGTTGGCCCTTGGAAGTTTGGGTTGGAATTTCCAGGAATCGCACCCATTGGATGGATCGTGAGCTGCACGAAATGATGTCTTCCGAAACGAAATAGGAGCATCCATAGAAGGTTGTTTCCAAGGAGCCTGATCCCCAAACTTGATGGAAATGAGAGTCATCGTCGGAATATTCGATATTTTCGAAGGGGATATTAAAAAAATCGAGCATGAGAGCGATTCCTGCGAAATGAGAAACCGAGATGATCTCTCGAATTTCAATGTTCCGCGAGAACGTTCAAATTAGTTTAATGGACGAGATTCCTTGCCCACTATCATATTGTACGACGAGCGGGAACTCCCCCGGGGATGAAAGACGGTGCTAACCCTCCTCGCTTGGGATGCGGGAATTTCGAAACACCGGATGGATCTGAGTGAGTTTGCAGGTCTTCTTCCCAGAAACTAATGTCGCGAACTTCCGCATTTTTATGATAAGCTTGACTGACTCCGAAGTTGGGGAAAAAACGCTCCAGTTTTTTCCCTAGGTCCTACTCTTCATTCTTTCCTCCAGTTCTGTGAAAGTTTCAGCAGACCTTTCTCCCCCGAGCCGAATTGCGGCAGGACACGTAGCTTCCGTATGCTTCACGGGAAACGGAATCACGCAATAAGTTTTCGGAATGAGCGAGTAAGGGTCCGCCCGAGAGTCGACGGCCTCCGGCTAGCTTTATCGTTACAATCGACTCTGCCATTCCATCCGGAAGCCCTCACAAATATTTTCACGATTCGGACTGCCGAAATCGTATTCCGCTCTGCTGATCGAAACCCAGTTTCTCGCGTCGATGATAATCAGACGTCTCAGCGATGGTGCAGTCTCTACGGAACATTCCGGGATGTGTAACCGAGAAAGTTGGAACGTCTCCGCACCAATGGACTCGTGCGACGAGGCCCGAGCGGAGTGAGCAATCATCGAAACTCGGGTATGTGGGCCCTAGAGACGGACTCGCGAATCGACGCGACGCTCTCTGGGGCAATGTCGCCTCCTCCTCTCGCATGTTAGCGACCCCGGTCCCGGTGGAGAAGGAGGGAGTGAGACTTGCTCGCTCGTTCTCTGCGATTTTCCGATGAACGCTCATCCAGGGAACCACGAGCGGTGGATGATTCCTTCTTGCTTCCTTGTGTCTCATCCCCTCCCCTCTTCTTCCCCTTCCGATATTTTGCGCTTCGAGGATTGAGTCGGGGAGAGTCCAAGGAGAACGAAGAAATACGTCGGAGAAGAGTAGTCGATGAATTGGAGCAAGTCTCCCCAATACATGAATACGAATGTATGTATGAAAGTTTTTCTTTGATCTTATCGGTATAGGAGACCAAAACGGGGAGCCTGACGATATGCAAGCTCGGAATATCGCGCAGGACTCCATGCGAATCGCGCCTCCATGCGCCTTCCAGATTTGCGAAGGGATAAGGCAGTCATTGGCCAGGGCGGTCGTCAGTCATTGTCAGTCCCCAGCGGCGCGATTTCGGATTCGAATGCCGGATAAAAGTCTCTAGTAAGGATGATGCTTGTAGGTGCGACAATCCGCGGCTGAGACCGCGTAGAAACATCGAACGAGGCGCAACAGATAAGTTCTAGGCGGATCTTCGTGGAAAATTCGAGAAGTTCCGGAATCCACAATGGTAGGATCACCTCCAATAACTCCGCTATGCATGCAATATACACGGAGTACAGGTGAAATGAGTACTAGAAACGGGCAAAATAAGCTCTATAGCACGGGAGATATCTGTGCACGAGCGACAGTTTTGCTCGGAATTAGAACTTCGGTGTCGATCAAAGGATGCATTATACTTACAGCTTCGATTTCACCGGTCATTCTTTCGACAGGAACCGCACAAAGGTCCGGCGGACATTACAGCTTGTGCCGGACACGAAATCGGACTCTAAAAAAATTTATGTTGCCGTCGGGATCTCTTGAGAGATTACAGTCTATTTTTTCCTCTTCGAACAAAAGACTCGTATTGAACTGCAAGAGAATATATCTCTCAAGATTGAGCTCAGTGGAATGAATGTCGACGATCTGTCACGAGATTTTCGTATAAAGAAAACGACCGTCCAACATAGGGGTTCGATTGAAGCGCATGTTAGGAAATTTTGGCCCTCTCTCCACTCAGGTCCGACAAGCGATGGAAATCAGGGCTACGGAAGATTCCCCGCATTCTACATGATTCACCTCTGAGCTCACGTTGGATGGAGTTTTTAATCTCCATCTGTTGAGTTGAAGAGATAGAATGGGATTCAAGCTCTGTGATGGCACCGGGAATAGCTGCGAAGCGCGATATATCGTCGAGCTCATTCCTAAGCTGAGGATCTCCGATGAGCACTTCCAGGGATCCCACATCTGATACTTCTCCATCGTTCTTCGCGACGAAGAGCTTTAATTTATCGAAATTCTTGGGATGTTGTAGAGCGGTTTTCAGAAACGTTCCCCACCTGAAGTTGACTGGTGTTGGCGGCATCGACCCTCGAGTTGAAATGGGACAGCACGCTTCTCACGTGGGAAACGAGGGCCTTAACCTTGTCGAAGCTCTCGCGGTAGAACTCACAGACCTAATGGAGTCCATGCGCGAAGCAAGTGATGTGCCAGAAATCCTTGTGGAAGATGCGTAGGTCTCGGCCCGTCGCTATATTCGTGCGACACTGATCCGTCACGAGTGGTTTGGACAAACCCGGATGTGAGGGGGACACATAGCCACCCTGTTTATGATTCCGGCTAGGGTGACTCGACGAAGTCTGTATCGTACCGGAGCGCGGTTCTTCGGCGCCTCCTATTAGGGGCATCACAAGAGTGTCGACAACCTTTCTTCTGCGTTTGTCTAGAGTCTCGTCGGTAAAGGTGGCGTAAGAGACACCCTGCAACGTCTGATCAATCTTCCCAACGATGGACCTGTGGCCGAAAGCCCAGTACTTCTCGGGCTTTCCCCCCAGAGGAATTGCTGGTTGCTATGCTTCAACAAAAAATCCTTGGAGCGTTGGGTAGAGTGATGCCTCAACGAAATGATTGAGGATGCGAACAGAAGAAAGAGTTCGCAGTCCAATGCGCCAACACCATCTCCCCCTTGATCAGCCAATGACTTCAATATGCCTGTCTTCGGAGAGTCGGGCACTTCCCTTGCGAGCTTGATATTCAAAGAGAAGGAGCAATTTCCTCACGCGACCGTTTTTCCATCCAGCCGGGAACACTTATTCTCCGATTTCGCTAACAAAGCTCTAAGCAATCTCCTTATGCTCGCATGAATTTTGTGTGCCGAAGACGGAACATCGAGCTCTGAATTTTCCAGAGCCCAACTACTGACTCGAGGTCATGTAGATAACAATCAGAGTTCTACATAGGTGATCCGCCGATGACAATACGCCGATGTGTCGTTCCACAAAATCCGAATCGCTTCCGAAATAGCTTCTCATCGGAGAGCTCCGCCAGTGCGACCTCCAGGTTGTCGCTGGATGAACGTGCACGACGTGTACGGGTTCGTGCAGCTTCTCTTGCCTTCCATCCACGCAACAAGAGCGATTCAGAACGGAAATTTGAATCTGTGACAAACATGATTTTCGACAACACCAATCGACCCCGCCATCCCTTATTCCTCTGAGCTTGGCGCCGTGAGACGGGGAAGCCATTCCTCAACCGGACACATTCCTTGAATTGACCGATAACCGGACGTGTCCGTTAGAATCGAAGCTCTAATTACCATGCTCGAGTGGCCGAATGTACAAGGAATTTTGGAATCGTCGACTCACCAAGACTGAAATCGTGCGGTCTGCCGTCGAGGTCGGGGCGCTTCTATCTGAGAGAATTCTATTCTGCGGTTGCCATGATCGGGACTCGGACTAAGTAAGAGCAGATCGGAGCTTCGATTGGGATTCTCGCGGCTGTCGGATTATGGGCTTTTCGGAGGAATTTGGAAACTTGAGAAACGCCGACGCTGTGCACGAGCAGAACTTCTCCTGCCCCCGCTCCCACTATCAGGCAGTCTCATTGTCAGCCGCAAGAATACGACAACTCCGAAGCGTGTATCCGGCATTGAATGCTGGGATATTCATTTTATAGAGCGAAGTCTGGAAATATGCATTTGCAGAAACGAAGATCAAGCATTGTTTATATCTTACAACTC